GGAATGTTTTAATTACTTCTTCAATTTCCTTGCTTGTAATTGGCCTGTTTAGTTGTTTATTTCTTCTTTATCTAGCTTTGGGTGGTTGTAGAATTGTAGGAATTTGTCCATTTCTGCTAAATCGTCGAACTTGTTTGCATATAGTTGTTCATAGTTTTCTCTGATTATTTTTTGATTTCTGCTGGATCTATTGTGATTTCTCCTCTTTTGTTTATGATTCTGTTTACTTGTGCTTTTTCTTGTTTTTTCTTTGTGAGCCTGGCCAGTGGCCTGTCTATCTTGTTTATTTTTTCGAAGAACCAACTTTTGGTTTCATTGATTTTTTTTTTTTGGACTGTTTCCTAACATAAATTTCATTTAATTCTGATTTGACTTTTATTATTTCCTGTCTTCTTCTGGCTTTGGGTTATTTTGTTGTTCTTTTTCCAGTTCTTTAAGGTGGGACATTAGGTTGTTTCTTTGAGTTATTTCTTATTTCTTTATGTGAGCCTGTATTGCTTTATATTTTCCTCTTATAACTGCTTTTAATCTGTCCCATATGTTTTGGAGACTTGTGTCATCATTCTCGTTCTTCTCCAGGTATTTTTTAATTTCTCCTTTGATCTCCTCATTGATCCATTGGTCCTCCAATAGTGTGGGTTTCAGTCTCCGCATGGTAGGTGGTTTTCTTGTCTTCTTCATATGGTTTATTTCTAGTTTGATTCCTTCATGGTCAGAGAAAATAGTTGGTAGGATTTCGATCTTAGTGTGTCTGTTGGTATTTATCTTGTGACCCAGTATGTGGTCGATCCTAGAGAATGATCCATGTGGATTTGAGAAAATGTGTACTCAGATTTTTTGAGGTGCAGTATTCTATAGATATCTGTTAGACCCATGTTGTCCAGGTCCTTGTTCAGAGCTTTAGTGTCTTTGCTTATTTTTGTCTTGTGGATCTGTCCATTGTGGAGAGTGGCATGTTGAAGTCTCCTACTATGTATGTATTTTCTCTGGTATATGTTTTCATAGATGACAGTAGTTTCCTGATATATTTTGATGCTCTTTCATTTGGTGCATATATGTTGATGATTGTTATGTCTTCTTGTTGTATTGTCCCCTTAATCATAATGTAGTGGCCTTCTGTGTCTCTTTTGAGATTCAAATTTTAATTGAAATGTTTTCTGCCTCAATGTAAGTTGGGGGAAGGATCAAATGGAAAAATAAATATGTAGGACTAATTCTTATAAAGTTGTCAACTAAATGCCAGAAAACTCCTAGGAACCTAAGATTGTTTTAATAAGAGAATAATTTAGGTTAAAGATGGAGGTAATCCTGTATTCAGGATTAATTATAGTCGCATGAATTACTCCCCTGCAGAAGAATTATAGAGAAGAGTCTAGGAAATTGTGAGAACTTGAATTAATTTCTCATAGGTGGGATCGTTGAAGAAACTGGAGAAAATGAACTTGGTAGTCTATTTGATAGCAATCTCTAAATACTTTAAAGAACTTTGATTTGTTCTATATGCATATTAAGAAAGGAAGCAGGACCAGTGGACGACACTGTAAGACTTGGCATATTAAAAGCCTTTTTTTGTTGATAGAAAGACTGCCTTAGGAAATACTTAAATCTTCCTAATAGAATTCAAACATGTTGGATTTGGTGACCTTTTACAGTCTCTTTTCAAGTCGAGGTGTTTTTTTTTCCCTTAGGATACTGTATCTAGGTAAGCCTTTATTTAGCATTTTGGTTGTACCAAAATTTTGGTATATGATGTGTCGGTAGTTTATAAGACTATTAGGAGAAAAGAGAATTAACTTTATGCACTCTAGTAATGATTAGGGAATATTTAACTTATATCTTTTGGCAAATAATACAATATATTTTTAAATGCACTAATTTTGAGGTAATGTAATTTAGGAGTAAATGTACTTTAAATTTAATGAACCTGTTTAACTATCCTTTGTAGATTTTGTCAAAATCTCAATTGCCATCTGAGAACAGAGAAAATAAAGTGTTGTGGACTGGTTGGTTCTGCTGTATATTTGGAGATAGTCTTCTGGAAACTGTTTCAGAAGATTTCACCTGTCTACCTTTATTCCTTGCAAATGGAACAGAGTCTAACACAGCTATAATTGGAACCTGGTTTCAGAAAACCTTTGACTGTTATTTCAGTCCTTTAGCAATCAATGCATTTAATCTTTCCTGGATGGCTGCTATGTGGACAGCATGCAAAATGGACCATTATACAGCTACTACGGAATTTCTTTGGTCTGTACCCTGTAGTCCTCAAAGTCTGGACATTTCTTATGCCATACATCCAGAGGATGCAAAAGCTTTGTGGGATAGTGTCCACAAAACACCTGGGGAAGTTACCCAGGAGGAAGTTGACTTATTTATGGACTGCCTTTATTCACACTTCCATAGGCATTTCAAAATTCATTTATCAGCTACAAGACTGGTTCGTGTATCAACATCTGTAGCTTCAGCACATACTGATGGAAAAATAAAGGTTAGTTTAAACATATTTTTCTTTATTGTGACATAGTTTTCATGATAATGGTGAATGTACTTTCCAAAGTGAAGAAGCACATTTGAATGTATGCCAATTGAAGACAGTAGAGATTTTATTTTATGCTTTATAAACCATTTAGTAAAAAGTCTTCAGCCTTCTATCTGCAGCATTACAATGGGAAGATACTATATACTGTGTTCTACAGACTTTGGTAATAATGTGAATTATTATTCTTTAGTAACTCTGAGGCCTTCAAAATTATTATCAAATTTTTAATCATAGTAGAGAGGATTATGTGTTGGGTAGAAAAATTAGGTCCAGAAATATAGAACTAGGATGCCATCTTTACATTTCAGACTTTTTTTTATACAAGAACTGGGGTACAGGCCAGAGGTACAGGAGGTGAGAGGATTCACCAGAGAAGAGTGGGGAGCATAATAGGTAAATATACTGAAATACACTGCTGAGGGGAGCAGTGGGCAGTCAGGAGAGATCTTCCATGTCATGTGGGTCATCTTCTCGGTTTAGAATTGAACTCGTGCTGCAGAACTTCAAGTGCTGCTCTTTAACCTGTTGCGCCACCAGGGAGGGCCCACATTTTAGACTTTTCTATACCCACTGGGAAAGAAATAATAGAGATACTGTTTTCCTTTCTATAAAGTGCTTATTGTGGAATTATCAGAAATAAATATAAGTAGGCACCTAAATATATTAAAATATATTTAGTTGATATATTTAATATATTAAAATGTAACTATAATAAACACTCAGTGGATGTTTCATATTATATCGCTAGATGTTTAACATACCTTAACTTTAACTAATAACTAATCTTATAGCAGCTCTGTATTTAATTTCCCCCACATTTCATTTTTAAAATAAGAAAACTGAGGGAGAGCATAATAAGAGTATTTGAGGCTTGAAAGTGTCTCTTAGATTCTAAGAAGTCCATACTCTTATTAGCAAGCACTATACTTGTGCTTTTCAAATGGGAGGTCACAGTTCAACAGTAGGTTGGATAATAATTTTGATGGGAAGAGACTAGTTCTAAAAGACAAAAGGAGAAGTAGAAACATAAAACATAACCTCACAATCACCTGTGTTAGGGTATATATTAGTGTGCATTGGATCATGGTGTTAAATTTATTTATTTATTTATTTTTTAAAGATTTATTTATTTGTACATACAGAACTGGGGTACAGGACAGAGGCTCAGGGGCAGTGAGAGGCTTCACCAGAGACAGAGTGGGGAACAGAACAGGCAGATTGACGAAGTACACTGCTGAGGGGAGCAGCGGGAGGGTCAGGAGAGGTCTGCCACGCCATGTGGTCACCTCCGGGGCAGGCGGGAATCGAACTCATGAGGAAGTGGCTTTAGCTTCTCAGTGCAGTGCTTTAACCCACTGCGCCACAAGGGAGGGCCCAAATTTATTTTTTACTATGGTTTATAGGAAAACGCTAGAGATAATTCTATACCATGTTACGTTGATTACAGAAAAACATTTGCATTTTTGTACCTTAGAATCTAGTGTTCATGAAGTCTTTATATATTTTAAGATTTTTTTACATACACATTAATTGTCAATTACATTTAAAAACTATTTTAATGATGTTAAAACAGTTAACTATGGCTCCTAGATTAAAGTATCAGGATGAACATTTGTTAAATACTCAATTGTACCAGGCATTATTAAATACTTTTTTGTTTCATTTTGTTTTCACAAGAACCTATTTACATAACTTGTAAGGAGGACCTATAGCAGAGGATAATTCACTTTCATAAGATCACACAGCTAATAACTAGAGTCAGAATTTGAACCCAGGCATCTGCCTGAAAAACGTATGCTTTTAACTGCAACACTTACTGTCTCTCAAAACTTTCAAATTACTTTATTACAAGGTTTCTGCCTTCACTTAACTTCTGCGTAGTACTTTTGGAATCATCCCTTTGAGAAGAAGGAACTTAGGGAACCCCATTATAGAAAATGTACATAAATGTCCTAGGGGTTCATTGATAGTCCTTGCCTCACTCCGTAAGCAAATGTCAGCTCATTCACGGAAGCCAAATGAAGCAGAACTGTAGTCTTGATTCCTTCAAAGCACTGTTGGCTAGTGGTTGTAAATTAAAGGTAGTAGTCTTCGCGGTATGAAATCTATATGACTTAGAGCAGTGCTTTGGTTCATATTGTATCTTAGCTTGCAGATTTGGAATTTAAAATAGTTCTGGAATATTTATCCAATATCAAGCTATTTTGTTATCACAATTAAATTCTTTTACAATTTTAAATGTCTCCTTTTTTCTTTCAGATTTTGTGTCATAAATACCTTATTGGAGTATTGGCATATTTGACAGAACTGGCAATTTTTCAAATTGAATGAGGCATGTATTTTCCTCAGAGTATATTTTGAGTTGCTCAGATGGAAGTCATGAAGGATGTGAAAGAACAGAGAAGATGGTAGTGGATGAACCACAGCCAGTTGCTCATGTTATTGTCATGACAATCTGACAGTCTGGGAAAATGCTGAATGTTACCTTGTCTATCTTCCAAAAAAATTATAAAATGTTTATTCTGTCAAACCTATAGGAGTCAGTTGAGATGTCTCTAATGTTGATATTTCTGAATTGGTCTTTAAGGCCTTTAATCTCTTTTAAGATTTTAGACTTGTGTTAAGAGACAATTTTAGCCTTCTTAAAGATATTTTCCTAGTATCATTTTTTTTTTCTTTTGTAAAGAACCGGTAATTAAAGTCCTATCCAGAGGAAACTAAAGATTAATAATACACATTTTAAAAAACCATTAATATGCTTCGATTTTTAAAACTTTTCCAATTCTTACTGCATTGTTGAATTAAATTTAAACTTTAAAAATGAAGTATTGTGTTTATTTGTGCTTAGGTGACCACCTTGGGAAGTTATAGGCTTTAGCACAAAGGTTTCAAACCAAGAATTATAGATTTAGTGAATGAATTTTAATCAACTTTTTTCTTTTGCAGTTGAAATTGACCAATTTAAGATACTTGCATGAGATTTTATATGTAAATCTTTTTACTTACTGAGCATAAGAAGATTTTATTTTACTTAAGAAACAATGTTTTTACTATCTTGCTTGAGAGAAACTAACAGGGTGTTCTGAGAACAAACATTAACTTCTGTAATGGACATTAGTTCAGATATCTAAGAAGCTACTGAGGAATGTTAAAAGTATGGGTTTGGGCTCAGACATTTACTAATATTAAGCTCCAACTTTGATTCTTAGAACATATAACTAATACTCTAGTTATTCTTTTAGGTCACAGGGATGAGAGTCCTTGTGGAGCAATCTGGAAGGAGTTTGTGCCATGACGACTTCTTGAGACTGAACCCTAAGTGCCATCCTTGGGTGGTCTTCCAACAGACTTATGTGTCAGAGAAGTAAAATTCTATTTTACTTAAGCTATTGTGATTTTGGATCTGCTTATAGCCAAATGTAGTCCTAGCTCACAGAGAGGCATGAGCCAGTCACATCATTGAAGTGTTTAGAAGTACTATTAAGAAGTTGGATTTTGTTCTGAATGAACTGGGAAGTCACTGATGTTTTAAGCAGAAAGTAATATGGCCTGATATATATTTTATAAGATTTTGTAAGACATGAGGGAGAGTGAGCTATAGGTGGACCAGAGTGTAAGAAGGACCAGTAGTCTCACTTTAGGATTCTTCCCTTGAAATTCACTGGCAGAAATACAAAATCAAGCATATATAAGGCTATTTATTACAACAGTATTTGTAAAAATAAGACAACAATAAGGGCCCTTCAAAAGGGGATTGATTGAATATAATTATGGCGTAACTACAAGTGAGTTACTACTATATAACCATAAAAAGTTTTGAGGAAGATAGCTATACACTACCATGGAGTGATCTCTAAATTATATTGTTATGTGAAAGAGTAAGATGTGGACAGAGTATATAGTAAGCACAAAAAGTAGTGTGCTTTCTTTGGTGGAAGCAATGGGAGAAATAGGGATGTGTGTGGGTGTTTTAAAAAAATAAAGGGTAAGGCAAAAACTACTAGATGGTTACTAATAGAGGGAAGGAAATGAGTGGAGGTACAGTAATGAAAGTTAAGATTATCTGAAATTTTTGGTCTGTAGTTTAGAACCATATAAGTTCTAAACAAAATTAGATCAAAAAGGAAAACAAAACAATCCCTAAATAACTGAAAACAAGTGAACATAATTTTATTAAATTATGGCATAATCATACAAATAATTACTTTTGGTATATTACTAAAAGACTATCATAGTATTTAAAAAATATATTTATTTATGCATCCAAGAACTGGGAGTGTAGGTCAGAGGTATTGAGGTGGGGGATGTGAGAGAATCCACCAGAGATAGAGTGAGGAGCAGAACAGGCAGATGCACTGAAATACACTGCTGAGGGGAACAGTGGGTGAGACGGAGAGGTCTGTGTGGGCTAACTCCTTGTCCAGCCAGCCAGGGATCAATTCCTGCTGCAATGACTGGGCGACAGCGCAGTAGTTTTGTCTTTAAACCCTGTGCCACCGGGAGGCCCTATGAGATAGTATTTTGACTCTACCATCATCAGTGAGCTAGATCCTAAAAGCAGAAGATCAGCAAAGTAAATTCATCTTTACTTTATTAATAATATTGGCATTGTTATTTTGCTAGGATTTATAAGGTAAAATAATTCTATCAATCTTAGGAAAATACAAAATATAATAAGTATCTTAAGTAGAAAAAAGGCATAAGGGAAAATATAAAATCAAGTAAGCTTAAGTAGAAGCTAATGTTAAATTTGTATTGGAAATATCAGCAAATTCATTTATATTTGAAATGCAAGTTTTAAATTTTGATGAAGTTTATCAAATTTTATTTCTTATGCTTTTGGAATCTAAAAGGTCATTACTTAACATAGTGACCTGAAGAATACCATGATTCTTCTAAAAATCTTAAAATTTTAGCTCTTAAAACTTAGGTCTGGATATATTTTGTTAATTTTTAAAAAAGATTTTATTATTTATGCATACAGAACTGGGGTACAGGTCAGAGGTGGGGGTGGTGAGGATTCCCCAGAGACAGAGTCAGGAGCAGAAGAGGCAGATGTACTGAAATACACTGCTGAGGGGAGCAGCAGGTGGGTCAGGAGAAATCTGCCATACCATGTGGGTCACCTCCCTGGCAGGGGATTGAACTGGTGTTGCAGTGGCTGCCTAACTTCATAGTGCTGCACTTTAACCTGTTGCGCAACCAGGGAGGGCCTGTGTGTTCATTTTTATGTCTGGTATGATGTAGGCATCCAAATTTATCATTTGTTTATTTACATCAAGACTCCTAGGTAAAAACAAAAGACCCCCAACAGCTTTTCTAATCAGGCTGGAGTAGAGCTTAACTTACCCTAGGCCCACTCCTACTCTGTCCATAGCCTAATCTACATCCTGGTCCCACGTAAGATTGGTTGCAAACTAGTTCCACTTCATTCCTCAAACTAGTTCGAGCATCCCTTGCAAATGTCACTGTGGGATTTTGATAATCATTGTGTTGAATCTGTAAATCAGTTTGGGAAGTATTAGCATTATCATGACATTAAGTCTTCCAACCCATGAGTCTGGGATAGCTTTCCATTTACTCATATCTTTTAAAATGTCCTTCAACATGTTTTTATAGTTTTCACCATATACACTGCATTTTTTTGGGGGTTACATTTTTTCCTGCTTGTTTTATTTTTTAATATTATTAACAATGAAATGATTTTCAGTTTCACTTTGAGTTGTTTGTTGCTAGTGTATAGAAATACAATCAATTTGTTATTTGGCCTGATATCCTCTGACCTTAAACTTGTTGATTCTATTTTCAGAGAATTCCTTAGGATTTTCTATATACAGTGTTCATGTCATTTGTTAATAAAGATGTTTTAATTTTTGATTTTGATGTGGATGCTTTCTGTTTCTTTTTCTTGCTAAATTGCTTTAGTTAGGATCATCAATACAATGGTAGTAAACTGGTGAGAATGTATATTACATCTTTGTTCTTGATATAGTGGGAACATGTTTATCATCATGTTAGCGGTAGGTTTTTCATAACCTTTATCAGGTTAAAGAAGTTTTATCCATAATTTACTAAATATCTTTAATATGAATAGATATTAGATCTTGTCACATTATTTTCCTATATTCATTGAAGTGATTTTTTTCTCTTTTACTTAAAACTGCACACTTAATTTTCTGGTTCTGCATATTAGCACCTTAGAAATTGCCCCTCTGGGACTCTCCCTGGTGTTGCAACAGATTAGGACGCAGCACTGCAAGCTGGCCACAGCTGCTTCAGTGCAAGTTCAATAGCCACCCTGGAGGTGATCCACATGGTGGGGGACAGACCTCTCCTAACCCACCTGCTGCTCCCCTCAGCAGCATACTTCCTCGATCTGCCTGTTCTGCTCCCCACTCTGTCTCTGGTGAATCCTCTCACCGCCCCTGCACCTCTGGCTTATACCCCAATCTGTATGCATAAATAAATAAATCTTAAAAAATAAAAAAAGAAATTGCCACTCTGCCCTAGCCACAAATAAAAAGTTGAACAGATGGAAAAATCTACTTTTCCTGTGCTCTGGGTAGACGCAGAGCAAATTATTGCCACCATGATTGGAGAAACGAGCACTTAATTACAGGGAATACTTTAATGTTTTACTGGAGCTGTGTTTCATGAGCAGAAACCTTTATGGAAACCAGTAAAACCAGCTCAGAAAAACTGAACTATCATTGATAAATTACTAGAAGCTCAGTGTGGACAAATCTGAGAGTTAAATTACAGGGGACTCAGGCATAGTGGTCCAAATAAGACTTGCACATTATATTTCATTGATGTCTTAAATTCTTTTTATTTATTTATTTATTTATTTTTATAGATGCATTTATTTATGCACACAGACCTGGGTTACAGGCCAGAGGTGCAGGGGTGCTAAGAGGATTCACCGGGGACAGAGTGGGGAGCAAAACAGGCAGACTGACAAAGCACACTGCTGAGGGGAGCAGCAGGTGGGACAGAGTTCTGCTGTGCCATGTGGGTCACCTCCAGGGCCAGGGATTGAACTCCAGCTGAAGCACCAGCTAGCTTCATAGTGCTGTGCTTTAAACCACTGTGCCACCAGGGAGGGCCCCTTAAATTTCTTAACTTTTCCCTTCCCAGTCATTTTTCTCCTTGCACCTTACTTGTTGGGGAAATACTTAGTTTTCCTCCACCCTGGATTTTGCTCACTGAATCCCTGAGGTTAACACATTCTGGCTCCCTGTATTTCCTGAAAACTAGAGCACCAATTCTTAACTTTTTCAACTCAAGACTCCTTTACAACCTCGAAGACTGAGTTCTTCAAAGAGCTTTTCCATATGTGATTTCTATTTGATAATTCCATATTAGAAATTAAGACAAATTAAAAAAAATATTAGTGCATCAAAAATCATCTGTTACATATTAACAACTCTAAAAAAACTGCTTTTCAAACAAAATTAGTAATGAAGTCACACATTTACATTTTTGTGGAAAAATTAGAAAAGGTTATCCCTCTAATTTCTGGCTTAATAGAAAGCAATTGGTTTCATACCTGCTTCTGTATTCAATTTTTTGGTAGGTTTTTTATTTGGTTGAGGCATATGAAGAATACAGCTTATATGAACATGAAATTGGAAGAGGCAAATGTATTTTAAATAGCCTTTTCTTACTATTATGGATATTCTTGTAACCACACCAAAACTTAGTAATTGTTGAAATCTGAAACCTTATCAATAGTCCTTTCATACTGGTCCTATTGGCGACCTTGTACTTTGAAGGGATCTTTAAACTAATGTATTGGTTATTTAGAAAACTGGCTCAATGAATTATGCAGTCTTCCAAATGCTGACACACTTTGGAGTATATTATAGGAATGGGCTAATGCAGTTTTAGAACTGAAGAAGTCCCACAATCTGCCCCTACAAACCAAAGAATGAGGCAAGTCAGTAGTGTGATTCAGTTCAGTTCAGAAGGCCTGAGAATCAAGAGGGTTGTTGGTCCAGTTCTGTAGTCCAGGTCATTGTTTGAACTGAGATTTTCAAACTTTCTTACTAAAATGAGAGAAGGAAGTAGATTACTTTGGAACTCTAGAGAATGGAAGATCTATAGAATGGAACCTAAAGGAAGGTGTTAAGATTTTAATTTTCATGCAAATTTTGTATTATACAGCTGTGCTTTCCCCAATTCTTTAAGTACTTATATATGCACATACAAAGAAAGTGAAAAATGAGGTAAAATATTAACAGTAAGCAAATCATATATGGGTGGCCTTTTTACTAATTTATTTTTAAGACTTGGTTTGAAATTGTTTTCAAATAGGAAGTTTTTTTTTAAATTAAAAAATTAAAATTAAAAATTAAAAATTCCTAATTCCACCTGCCAATAATCCCTTTATTTCTTCAGTTGAAAGCTACTATAACTTTACATAAAGGAACTATGATACAGAAACAAAGTCTAAATTAAATAGTAAAGATAGAAGCATTAAAAAGCACTAGCCAAACATTTTTATGGTAAAAACTACCTTTATTTAAAAAAGTTATACATGCTAGAAAAAAGCATAAATGATACATGTAAACAATTGTTTACCAAATACTTATTTTTTTCCTTGTAAAGGTGCAAATGATCATTAAATGTAAACACAAAAGTTGCCAAACATTTTTAAACTGGGGAATAAGAAGATTCCTTTTGGTTGTGATTAAAATCTATTCAAAGATTTTCCTGCAAAATACAGTGAAAAAAATTGGTCTATGAACACAATGACAGAACTTCAACCAATGATATTTGTGTCATGTTTTTCCTTAAAAATTTTGATTTTTCACCAGAAAGTGCAATTTGAGAGTAACAGTGGCTTTATAGAATGAGGGTAATGATATATAGTTTGTATAAAAGAACCAAGATGTAATTAATGTCTTGATTAATTTTACTCTCATTTAGCATGTGCTATTAAATGAACATAACAAAGCATTCATTCCTTTGGAGGTTGTTACAGGTGAGCCTCAGCTTCAGCAGGCCTGAGCATCAAGTTAAGTTGCATAACAATATTCACTGCTGGGAGGAGGACATTTCTCCCTGCTGGTCCTTAGTAGCAATAAGGAAATAGGAAGGAGAGTTGCTTTAGACAGTTATGCTTTTGAGCAAATTCTTTTGCAGAGTTGCACATGTTTCTATTGGGGGATTCTTAAGACTATACACGAGAATGAATCACTGTTTTTATAGAGGCACTGAGCAGAGCTCTAGAACTAGTACAAACTATGAAAATATGAGAAAAGACTTGAAATATAGCAGAAAACAAGCACACATGGAAGGAAACAAGATGCAAACTCACAGTGATAAAAACTAGTGTGTTAGTCCGGCCTGGTTTGGTTGAGTTAATGATATTCCTTTTCAGTTATATTATTTAAAATGAGATGTTTCCTTATTTATTTATTTTTAAATGTTCAAGTCTTCTGGTGCTTAGTGTAGTAATGGTGGCTACTGAAACACTTTGATTACTTTGTTATGGGTAGTCCTTTTAAGAAGTGGAGTCATGTGGATGGAGTGCCTAGATACAAGAACTAGATCATACATAGCCCTTCTCCCCTTATTAATATTTTCAAACAATATCCTAAAAATAATATTTTACTGCTTGGTAGTTTTTTTTTTTTCTTTTCATGAGAGGAAGGCTAAAACCAAAAAAACCAAACCAAAACAAAAAAATGAAAAACCCAAACCCAACAACAAACAAGTCCATAAATTAAAACAAAAAATAAATATTTTTCTGCACAGAATTGAAAATTATTGTGCAAAGGTGGCATCTTGCAGGTGAAGTACTTTCGTTGTTTTTGTATTTTCATTCATTGAGGCACCGGCAAAGAATAAAATTTGTTCTAGTGTTTTCTTGAGCTGTACAAAGTTCCAAAGTCAAAGCTTTCCAGAAATACAGAGGAGCATATACATCACTGTATTCCAAATATTCACCATATATGGGATTCGCAATGTGTCATTTTAATAACTCCGACACCACCCCCTAGCCGTCGATAATTCATCCCGCCGTATAACCTGCAAAAAAAGAATCAGATTTCTGACTAGAAAAAGTACTTTTCTTTTTTTAAATTTAATCTTTACATCTTTTAAAGGTAATTATTTTACAATGCCTGCTTTCTTTTCACAGGTTTAGTCCTTATAGAATTGCCAGTACCAGTTCACCCATGCACCATCACCATAGTCCCTTGTGCTGTTCCCATCCTCTTTTTGATCCCGCTCCCTCCCCTTCTGCAGAATGTCTCTCTGATTTATAGTTGTTTATTTTTGTTTTATTATTATTTTTCCCCTAATGTCTTATTTGGTTTCCATATATTCCTCCTATAAGTGAAACCATCTAATATTTTTGCCTTCTGACTTATTTCACTGAGCATAGTCCCTTCTAGCTCCATCCATGTTGTTGTGAATGGCAATTTATCTTTTTTGATTGCTGAATAGTATTCTACTGTGCACATATATCACATCTTGATCCAGTCATGTATTTTTGGGCATCTGGGCTGTTTCCAAGTCTTACCTATCATAAATAGTACTGCCATAACATAGGCATACAGGTATTCTTTTGAATTAGTGTTTGGTGTTTTTTGGGTAGTTTCCTAGTAGTGGGAATTGTTAGGTCACATGGCAGCTCCATTTTTAGTAGTCTAATTCCTCAGGCTGTCCTGAGGACAGTGGTTGGACCAGTTTGAATTCCCAACAGCAATGTAGGAGAGCTCCTGAAAAAGTACTGTTTCTTCCACAACTAAGAGGTTAATAAAATACTTGCCTCTATTCACATCTAATATTTTCAGCTTCATACATCTCATTAGAGTTAGGAGCTGGAATTTCTACTGTCAAGTAGCAGAATTAGGTTGGACACTGACTAAAATGTTCTCATAATTTTGCATCATAACTTTACATCTTTGTATCTAAGCTGACTTCTAACCATTAAATACATGTTCTAATTTTGCTCCACCTTTATTATTTTCTCACCCATGTTACCCTTTTGCCTAACCTCCCTAAAATACTTTTATCCTTTGTCTTGTATGTACTCTTATAAGCCTCCTTAGAACCTTTATGTCTCCCTTCTATTAAGTTTTACTAGAAAGCTACCTTTTCAGTGAGTTTTCCTGGACAATTTTCCCCCACCCTGGGCAATTTTTTAAAGCGGACACCCCCCTCTCACCTCCCCTGCTTTGCAACTGCACTTCCACCTCTGGTGTGTTACTATTTGTCTCCCTCTCTGGAATGTCAGTTCCATTACTATGAAGGGCAGAGAATTTTGTTCTGTTTGCTTTTGTATCCTCAGATTCTACAACACTCAATAAATCTTAATGCATGAGGTTGTGAATGTGTGCTGTTAAGAGACAAAAAGTGCTAAATCATCATTACTCTGACTTTAGTATTTTGACCATAGTGCTATACAGAACCATGAGAGATGCTGAATTTAAATAATGTCATTAGATATCTGTGAGAGATGTGGTTTCCCCAGAGATTAAGACAATAAAAAGAACTCCATTAATTCAGTCATGTAGCGTCATGACAAAGATCTGGGGGTTTTAGTTTCAGGCTCAAAATGAGAAAATGTACGCTGTGAGAATACAGCAGGAATGAACTGAGATTGCCCCTTTCAGAAGGGTAACTATAAAGTGACCTCAGCTGATCGTTCACACTCATGAGAAATATTTTTCAGAATGTCTGCAGCCTCAGACCTTATATGCAGACTGCTCTCTGATATACAGCCACAACCATTGAAATTTTTTTATTTTATTTTTTAGTTTTTAT